TGATTTAATATTTTCGAGTTACCATAGACTTTTGTCTTTTATTTTGGTTGTTCTTTGTGTGACACTTGTTCTTGTTGGGTTGTTGGTTGTTGTTCCACTTTTATTCAAACTATACACAGTGAAAATCAAACAAGCTCCAAAAATCAAATAAGCAAATAAATAGAGAAAATCAAATAAGCAACAGAAATCAATAGAAATAAGTAGTAGAAACTAGTGTGGTCAGAGAAATTTTAACTTCCAGAGAAAATTATAATAAATAGAAATTTCTCTGAGTTATGTTGACACAAGGACATAACTTTTTGTGGCTCAAGATTTTCACTGACCTTGGGGTTGAACCTGTGTTGGTGTTCGGTAAGGTTGTGTTGCTAGTTGGATGGATAGTTCTTGAATTTGTTCATGCAATCTAACATTTTCAGTTTTATGCTCTAAAATTGAATACCTCAACTGCTAAATTGTTTTTGTATCATCTTGTTGTTGAACCTCCAACATCCTTAGTTTCATTTGGTTTGTGTTGTCTTTTTCTTGAAGTTCTGAGTCATGTGATGTCAAGGTTCTTATTACAATGTCTTTTTCTCCAAATAATTCATTCAAATTTCTCTCTTCTTCTATTTTGGATTTAGAAAGTGCCTTTAGTCTTTGATGTAGATCAGCAATTTGAGTATCATTTGATTCCTCAAATTCTTGAGGCTGATGCATTGTTGAGCCACAAATGCTATTATGATGTTGGTTCATCGGCTTATTATGTTCTTCTTCATCACTTTCCTCATTGCTTTCTTCTTCCTCTTTAGATTCAGTGCATTCATCTTCTTCTTCATTGTCTTTTTCTTTTTGTTCATTTTCTTCTTTGTCTTCTACTTCTACTTCTTCACTTTTTTTTCTGGCTTCCGCTTCTGAACTGCTTGCTTGATCTCTTTCTCCATTACTGGCTTCATGTTCTTCTGTGTTGCCTTCTCTTTTTCCATTCCCTTTTTCTTCTTCAGATGAATCTTCTAATGTCTCCTTGAATTTGACAATTGCATTTTTTGATTCTTTCTTCTTCTTTTTATCAAGACAAAACTCCTTTGATGGGTTTTTAACTAGCTCATTGTTATCTATCTATAACAGGAGGCTCTTTTATTAGAGAAATGTTACAAAATTCACTGAGAGAAAAAAATCCAAATAAGGCAGATAAAATTCATCTGAATCATACTAATAGAAAACAAACTTCAGAGAAAATTGTATGGGCCAGAGAAAATTACAGACAATGAGATAATTTTATGAGTAAGAGAAAATTATGAAACAAGCAACATAATTTAAATATAAAAAAAAATCAATGAGGGCATATAAGTTAATGTTACTATAATTGTGACAGAGAAATTTGAATTCCAGAGAAAATTTATTACAATGGCAGAAATAAACAATGGTAATAAAAAAGTAACATAAATTGAAATTTCAAAGAAAACTAATCTCAATCAGTCAAGTCACATAAGTTATGGGGCAGATAAAATTCATCTAAATCATACTAATGGGATACAAATTTTAGAGAAAATTTTATGGGCTAGAGAAAATTACACACAAGGACAATTAATTTTATGGGCCAAATAAAATTATGAAACAAGCAACATAATTTAGATATCAGAAAAAATTAATCAAGGCAGATAAAATAATGTCACTATAATTGTGGTCAGAGAAATTTGGATTCTAGAGAAAATTCATTACAAGGACAGAAATAAACAGTGTTAATCAAAGAAGCAACATAAATTGAAATTTCAGAGAAAATTGATCTCAATCAGTCAAGGCACACAAGTTATGGGCCAGAGAAAATTACACACAAGGCGAAATAATTTTATGGGCCAAAGAAAATTATGAAATGACCAGCATAATTCAAATATCAGAGAAAATCAATTAGGACATATAAGTTAATGTGTTACAATTGTGGTCAGAGAAATTTGGATTGCAAATAAAATTCATTACAATGCCAGAAATAAACTAGTGGTAATCAAAGAAAAAACATAAATTGAAAGTTCAGAGAAAATTGATCTCAATCAATCAAGGCACAAGGAGTGAAACAAACCAGAGGTCAGAGAAATTTTAGAATTTCACTGAGATTTTAGTGGCGATAGAAATCTAACATGTCGAGGTGCAAGAGAGTGGACTAGTGTCTTCTGCAGTTGTTTGGTCAAGCCTTGCAGGTTCTACTTGGTACATCTTGGGAATTCAGTTGTGTTACTATCTTCCGAGTCAATGATATTCGAATGTTCACATAGCCAATACTGTGATGGAAATTAAAGTAATTAAATTTTGCTAAACACACAAATGTGTAAGTATCATAGCTGTAATGCAATGACACACCCTATAACTTTTTCTGAAGTTTTGTGCAATGTTGTGATGGAATCGATCAATGTTGATGTGATTACTTCTGGCCAATCATACTGCTTCATCGATTCAAGAGGTTCCACGTACTTTATAAAAACCCTCCCTATTGAATTCCCACTTGTTGCAAAAAATAGGGTGAGACACAAGTACAAGGTAACAATGATTGCTACATTTTTGAAGTCAATTGGTTGCTTGCCTTTCATTGCTTTGACCAAGGCATTTTTAAGAACAGGACCAGTGAGCCTTGTGTCCTTTGCGATTCTTCTCCTTAGAAATGCAGATTTTGGCTTTTTAGAATATCTTAATGACATGGCTCCTTTACCTCATTGCAAACCAAAAATTAAGGTCATGTCATTGGTTATAAAGGTCAAGTTCTTTTTAGCAACTGTGAATGCTTTCATTTTTTTATTGTAACGTTGGATTATTGCAACTACATTATCATCAGATTTCTTAGATTTTCTTGGATCCATCCTTCCAGTGGTTAGAACTTGGATCAAATATCAGAATGGAGTCTTTTGAAGCTCTTCAAGTTGGTTTGAATTGAATTTAAGTGTTTGAAAAAGGAGACAACAGATGAGAGGTTTGATCGGTATTGAATGCTGTAATGAACTCTCTTTCTTTGGAATTTAACATATTTTTTCCTCCTTGAGCTTGAGTCTTTTGAGGTTAGGATATTCATCTTGATGCTAGTTGGTTCATCACTTTTTTGGTATTTTGTTGCTTTTACATTTTGCCATTTCTAGACAATGATGAAAATATAAAGATGTCAACAGTAAATCCCAAAGAAAATTGAACATGTTAGAGAAAATTGAACATGTTAGAGAAAATTACACATAAGGGAGAAAACTAAGGTGGCTAGAGAAAATTAGACACTGAAAATTAAATGTCAGAGTATTAATTGTTTTCCTATGGAATACATCTAGCCACAACAAATTTCTATTTCTAGAGAAAATCAACAAAGTAACATAAACATGCCAGAGAAATTTTCAATAATTGTTAAAATTATATATAAAAGTAAAATATAGCCAGAGATGATTCAAAAAAGAAACATATATCTAGCAATCACAGAAAATGAATATGACAGAGAAAAGTAAACATGGCAAGCTAGAGAAAATTTCCATTCCACAATTAGCAAGACAAAATAAACAAAGCAATGTAAACATGCCACAGAAAATTACACAACATTGAAACCAAGAATTGAACAAAATAAACATACCAGAGAAAATTGAACATGGCAGACAGACACAAGGGAGAAAACTAATGTGATCAGAAAAAATTATAAATTTCAGAGAAATTTAGACACTAACAAGATAATACTAGGTGTTTTCGTATGGAATACATGTGGCCAAAGCTAATTTTCATTCCTAGAGAAAATAACCAAAGCAACATAAATATGACAGAGAAATTTTCAAAAATTGCTACAAATTACATATAGATGTAAAATATACCCAGAGAAAATTCGAGAAAGAAACATAAACCTAGCAAGTATAGAAAATGAAAATACCAGAGAAAATACACATTCTAGAGAAAATTACATATTCTAGAGAATATTTCCATTCTAGATAAAATTTCCAGTCTATAATATTAAAATGCCATAAAAATTTATATACGCAACTAGAGAAAGTTAAACATGATAGAGACACACAAGGGAGAAAAATTATGTGGCCAGAGAAAATTATAAATGCCAAAGAAACTTAGACACAGACAAGAGAGTAATATTACATATAAATGTAAAATATAGCCAGAGAAAATTCAAAAAAGAAACATAAATTTAGCAGGCACAGAAAATGAAAATGCCTGAGAAAATTACACATTCTAGAGAAAAATAGATATTGCAGAGAAATTTTTAAAATAGAGAAATTTACAGACAAAATCACATAAACATGTTCAAAAATAAGATCAAAACACAGTGAAATAACTTTTTTCAAAATAAACATGCCAGAAAAAATTCAAAAAAGAAACATATATCAAGCAAATACCAGAGAAATTCAAATGCCAGAGAGATTTACAGATAAAATCACACAAACATGTTCATGAATAAGTTCAAAACACAGAGAAACAACTTTTTCAAATTCATGTAGTTTTTAATTACGAAATTGAAATCCTAATTAATAGAAGGTTAATATAAAATACAATTAACTGTATTTCCAGAGAAAAACTCGTTAGATTGTAAAAAAACTTACCAGATTTAGGATGAAACGCTAATTACGAACTGATATGCCCTGAGATGAAGATGCAATATGACTAAGATGAATTGAGATGACGATGAACAAAGAAAATGAGATCAGAGAAATTTATAAGAAAGGAATAGGAAAAATTTTTGCAGAAAATAATGAAACTCTAATGTCAATGATGCAGATGATATTGAAACCCTAATTCTGTTGTTCTCTTGCTCGTGAAGATGGTTGAATGTTTGGAATGACACCCAGTCGTCGAAATCCAGTTCAATTTATGTATTGATTTGTGAAGGATATTTTGATCAATGAAATAATAAAAATGCGCGCAATAGAGTTGAGAAACCTGATGCATCGCCTCCTTTTTTTTTTTATGTCCCTAATCCTCTAAATTACTATTATTAGAGACATTTAAAAAAAAATTCCCTTCAAATAACAAATGCATTCCATGTAAGTCCACTTTTGAGAAAGTTAAAAACAAAAATAAAATTTTATTTATTTATTTAAGCTACATTTTATTTCTTTATTTTTTTTATACATTATTTCATAATATGCTAATAAAAAAATAAAATTTCCAGAATAGGCTCAACTATCAAACTCAACGTCCACACTCTACCTACCCTAAAAATAAAAGTCCACACTCCAACCAAAAAGGGCAAAAAATAAAAAAAAACGAAAGGGTCTAATCCAATACAACCAAAACCAAAATCCAAATCCAAATCCACAATTCACCACCACCACCAACAACATCATCATCATCATCATCATCAAATAACATAATCAGACCAGTGAGCCATAAACGAAGTATGATCCATAGACTCCCCAGGCACATCATCATGAACCTTCGGCTGTTCCTTCCCACCCACCAACCTCGCCGGATTCCCCACCGCCGTCGTCCACGGCGGCACATCTATCAACACCACCGACCCCGCCCCTATCTTTACCCCCTCCCCAATCTTCACGTTCCCCAAAATCGTCGCTCCAGCCCCAATCAAAACCCCGTCTCCAATCTTCGGATGTCTGTCCCCACCCACCTTCCCAGTCCCCCCTAATGTCACATGGTGAAGAATCGACACATTGTTCCCCACCACCGCCGTCTCTCCGATCACCACCCCCGTCGCATGATCCAACAAAACCCCCTTCCCGATCCTCGCCGCCGGGTGAATATCGACAGAGAAGACATCGGAGACCCGGGAATGGAGCGCGAGGGAAATGGGTTTTCGGTTCTGGATCCATAACTTGTGGGCGACCCGGTGGGCTTGAAGGGCGAGGAAGCCTTTGTAGTTGAGGAGGCAGTGGGAGAAGGAGAGGCAGGCCGGGTCGCGGATCCGGGCGGCGCGGAGGTCGGCGACGGTGGCGGAGCGGAGGGAGGAGTCGGAGGAGAAGGTGTTGAGGAAGAGGTCGTAGAGGAGGGTGGAGGAGCAGAGCTTGTTGCCGAGGTGGAAGGAGAGAGATCGGGAGAGAGAGGAGTGAGAGACGATTGTTGAGTAGAGGTAGCTTGCGAGTGCTGGTTCGGATTCGGCGTCACGGCGGGCTTCTGCTTTGATTTGGGTCCATACCCACGTTTCGTCGTCGGTTTCGGCGGCGTTTGACGGCGGTGGGGGAGATGGAGACGGTGGTGGGAGGTCTTGGACTGGCATTGGTGGCGGTGGAGTTGGATTAAACGGAGAGGATTTTAGTTTGCTTTTTTCTTTTTAGAGTGAGAGAGAATATAAAGGAGGTTTGGTAGTGGTGAATTTACGATAGATTCGAATTTGGTGGTGTAAAATTACGGATGGAGTTATTTGAAAAAAAAAATAAAATTATAAATATATTTTTTTTGATATTTATTTAAAATATAAATTATTTTTTATGGTTTAAAAAATTATAAATACTCTTTTATTAAAAAAAAATTTAACAGAATTAATTAAAAAATAAAATTCATAATTACTCTCCTATATAATAATAAAATTACCTAAATTATTAATTAAAATATATTTTTAACATCATTAAAAATTATTAATTAACTTAATGATTTATTAATAAAATAATAAAATGAGCAATTTGTTATGAAATTAGAAATCTCAGGAGGTGGAATGTAATTTTTAAAACTACATGGGTGATTCGTATTTTAATTAAATCTTAAGAGATGTATTTGTAATTTATCATTTAATAAAATATTATATTAATTAAATATCAATAATTATATAATTAAATGATATTTGTGTTACTAATATATGTCGTTGATATAAATGTAATCTAATTAATTGTTATTAATATTTGATTAACATAATTTTTTATAAAAATAACGTATTTAATGAATCTTACATATATTGGAAAATAATGAGTTTTCGGTAATTTTAATTCAAAATTAAAGTGAGATCTAACCACTGGTTGAGGTGAGTCTGAATGGTTTTGTATTATCTTAAGTGAGAATATTGCAATACAAAAATAATAAGCCGAAACTATTGAAATGTGAATGATAATTGTCTTATAAAGTGAATATCAATAAAGTTGGGTTTAGATTTGAACTTAGTTTTCGTTTGGATTGGACTTAGACTTGTACTTGTGCATGTTGTTGGGTTTGGTCTTAGATTTAGACTTAGACCTAGTTTTGAGCTTTGGTCTGAGCTGTATTGGGCTTAGTTTTGCATGTGTTTGAGATTGGGTTTGGATCGGGTTGTGATCCAACACCCATATCTATTTTACAACTCATATAGTTTAATTCTCAAAACTTATGCATAATATACACATTATGATTTATATAATGGTTTTAGAACTTTGAACTTTTGTAACTCTAGCCCTAATGGCTAGAGTTTAAGGCATTTAATGATCCATTGATGTTAGCTTTCATGACTAAGGCTCTCCCCTAATAGTATAAATAGAGGCCTTTTACTTCTAACTTAGTAGATTGTTTTTAGAGATGTTTTTGTGATGGAAAATGAGATGGTGTTTTGGGATAAAAAGTTGAAGATATTTTTTTACATCAAAGAACCTGTATTCTTTTGTTAGCTTCTTCTTTGGTTCTTATTAAAGATAGTGCATCCATTATCAAGTTCGCCGAAACTATTTAGAAGGTGCTTCTGCATTAGTTGGTTTCGACCGTCGTATCCTGAGAGACAGACATCAGTGTACCTCTAACATCCATCGAGAGGCGATAAATCTATTTTAAGGAAACTGTCTAGTGCAAGTTTCGGTTTGCTTCTTTTCTTATTAAATTTTTCAATATTTAATATACAAATATGAGTTCTAAACTTTAGTTATCTATGTTAATAATTTGTTCTATTAGTAATGTAATCTAATTCATTTTGGTATTTTTGGTTGTATCGTTTATTCTGTATTTCATCCTTTTAATAAATAAAAAATTTATTGTCATTTCTATTTAATTTATTATATATATATATATATATTTCATGTATTATTATGAAAAATACCAACAACATATTGAACGATTTAAATTATTAAGATAGACCAGAACAAGGTCCATCATGGGCCAACAACACTTTCTAGTTCAAACTATCTTCCGTGAATGAGGTATCATTGATTAATGAAAAATTATAAATAAAATTGCAATAATGTTTAAGAGATTTGATTTGAGAGCTCTAATGTAATTCTATTGACGTGGAGAGTACCCATATGAAGTGGGGCTCACACTTCTCTTTTTATTTCTCTCTACCCTCTCTCTCTCTCTCTCTCTTTCATCTCACTAAAGTTCCATTTAGAGTTCTTAAATTAGAACTATGTATCATTTACTTATAAAATTAAGTCACTAAATTTTCTCTCACTAATTTAAAATTATTATAATATCTATCACAAATTTAAATTATTTATTGGGGAGTGATACCAATCAGTGTGTTTAGTTTTAATTTTTTTAAAATTAAGTTTTTTATTTTTCGTGTTTTTTTTTGTTTTTAGTTAATATTTTTTAAATTTTAAGAAAATTTTTTTGAATATTTTTTAGATATACCTTACTTAGATGTATCTAAATAAAAAAATATTTTAAAAAAATAATAAATATAGAAAAATATAAAAGATGTACTAAATTTTCATATTTTTTTGATATTTAGTATATTTATAAAAAAAAATTCACAAATATTATATTTTTTAAGTATATTTAAATTTTTTTTAAATATTAAAAAAAATTATTAAAAAATTCAAAAATGCGGAAAAGAAAAAAATAAAAAATTTTAAAAATTATTTTTTAAAAATCAGAACCATACAAACTGAATATAATTGTTACATCCAATATTGAAGATTTGGAAGACGGAGAAGGACAAGTGTCTGGGATGCGGGGTACACGCAATGGATTTTCTTTGGGGTGGAACGCGGTTTTCTTTAAAGTAAAACTGCATGTTTGACTTTAGCGGCATAATTGAAAAGTTGGCTTGGTTTGTAAAGGATGCGGGCCACTGTGTTCACCCACTCACTGCAAGTCTGTCGTGTTTCATTTAATATTTTTTTAAAGATATACATTAATTATTTTGAAAAATATAAAAAATATGTATAAAAATGTAAGAAAATAAAGAACATAATTATTTTTTAGTAGTGACTTGAAACTTTTTAACTATTTTATCACTTGTGAAATAACGGGAGAATTTTTTTAAGGTCTCTAGTATTAAAATTTTATGATATAAAAGATATTTAATATTTTCATAATATCTAAGGTCCGTCAACATCGATCAGAGAAAATTCGATTCAGAGAAAATTGTCAAATTCAGAGAAAATTCAAGGGTAATCTAGAAAACATTGCCAAATTCAAAGAAAATTTATAAGGTTTCATTATTATTCAGATCTCCTCACTATTTTCTCTAGTTTACAAATCTCTTCAAACTTTTAGTACTCTTTGGCTATGTTTGATTCCACAAAGACTAATAGTGAGGTATTAACAATCCTATGAAATTAGTGTGGTATTCACAATCTCACCCCTATCCCATTACTAATAATCCTATAAATTTGTTGGATTAACTATCCATTGGATTAATAATCCTAAAAAAAATGTCAAAACAAACATAGGATAATTGGGCCCACGGATTAATAATCCTAATCCCATACCCTAATCCTTCCAATCAAACATGCCCTTTTTCCACAATTCATCTTTGATATCTCTACCACTGCCTTTGATGAATGCAGTGGTGGTCCGAGTGGTGGTTTCAAATCAGAGAAAATTGAGAAATTCTAGACTTTTCAAACCCAGAGAAAATTGAAATTTCTTTGAGTTCAAATTTTTGCAACCTACAACTCGAAAACTAATATCAATTATAGAGGTAAATACCACATTATGACAATCTAATTCACAATCTTTTAAAAATGACTCACAACTAATACTGATTCTATTTCAATAACTGGATTCTAACTTTTATCACTCAACAAAATGCACTTGAAAATTTCTCTTTTGTCCCCTTTTGTCACAGGATTCTAACATCACAGAGAAAATTATTCAAGGCAAAGAAAATTGTGTTTTGACTCAACTAGAGAAAATTGATCAAACTAGAGAAAATTGCAGTTCTCTCTTCTCTTCTAGAGAAATTCTAAACCAGAGAAATCTAGAGCAAATTGAACATCACAAAGAAAATTAAACATGCCAGAGAAATTTTTTTGACTCAACCAGAGAAAATTGATCAAACTAGAGAAAATTACAGTTCTCTCTTCTCTTCTAGAGAAAATTGAACATCATAGAGAAAATTATTCAAAGTAGAGAAAACTAAATTTACTAAAGAAAATTGTGTTTTGACTCAACTAGAGAAAATTAATCAAACCAGAGAAAATTGCAGTTCTCTTTTTTTTTTTTCCAACTTCATTCCTCATCTTTCTCAAATTCTCTAGTTTGCTTATAATTATTGTTTCTTTTTTTATTTTGAATAATAATGAAGCCTTGTGAATGCACCCTGCAATAAATTATAGATTTATAGTGATTTAGTAAACTAAGGTCACGTTTGTGTCAAAAATAGTTCAACATCTAATACATTAATACAACCAACACATTGCTCATACAAATCATACTGCATTTAACAACCCAAAAACGAATCAGATCTGAAATGTCCAATGAACACAGAAATTGCTTCCAAAAAAAAAACAAAACAAAAAACAAAAAAAGGGGATTGAGATTGAGAACCTTTGATACTTCATGGGTCATAGTCTTCAAATCCAATTGGTTTTTGCCGAAACCATTGACCATTTCACCGGAGATAAGGAAGAAGACGGGCATGGAAGAGCCATGAACGATGGCTTCTAAGCTTCTGGAGATCATGATAACCTAATCGTACTTGTCAGCGAATGAGAAGAGCTGATAAAAGGGTAAGCTCTGCTCCTTCTTCTTCTTTGCCTTCGGCATTTATTTCGCTGCCTCTATATTCTCAGCCATTTTCACCATCGACTGATCGAAGTAGATACAACCAACTCTGTATTGGGTCTAGTTTAATGGGTGATCTTTGTTTCTGGGTTCCTCACCATTAGAGGAGAGCGATGTGAGGTCGAGAAGATACAGAGCAATAAAAATAGAGAAAATAAGAGAAAAAGTAGAGAGAGAGAGAGAGAGAGAGAGAGAGAGAGAGAGAAAGAGAGGGAGAAACGTGACATATAGGTGTCGGGGGTTGAGGGACTTAAGACATCATAAAATAATATTATGAATCTCTTTCATTACTAAAAATGAGAGAGAAACCTTAGATTAATTTTCCCATGGAAAAACCCCTTAAATTTTAGCGACATTTTAAAATTGAATTAGATTCTCTTTTAAGTTCAACATTTTTGACCAAGCATTT